GCGGGGCCATGCGTCGTGGCCTCTGTTTGACTAGCTTGTGCGACGGGTCAACATGCAGCCTGTATGTGATTATCTCGGGGTCTACCCCCGTCATTTCCATCTCGTTCCATGCGAACACGTCTGTATTTTCCCTTAGGAACTCGATCATCTCCTCCTGTTCGGCTGTGGGCATCGAGGTCCCAACTAAGAAATACCTCTCTTCTTCTCCCTTCACCAAGGGCACCTTCCGGAGGTCTTCTACCGACCGCTCAGTTGGGTCTATCCGGGGGTCATCCATTCCTGGACGCCCGGACTGTAATTGCTATTTTTCCATAATCTCTTCTGGTGCTCGCCCCTTCTCCTGGCTGAACGCCCCGGCTCGAACGGCTGAATAAAAATAATTTTTCGCGGACGCTTAGTCCCCCCGGATCTCCATGATACCTTCTGACGTGGCAAATTTTAATTTCTGGTGGAAAGTGGAGTGCACCGCTCCCAACGCATGCAGCCATGTTCGCCCCATAATCACGTTGTAGGGAGAGTCCGTATCGATCACGACAAACTCGGTGTCGATAATAAAGGGACCTGTGACAACTGACAATGTGATTTTCCCCACGGGCAGGGCGAACGAGCCGTTGAATCCGATGAGGGGTGTCCTGACTTTGGTGAGGTCTTTGGGGCCAAGACCCATCCGTTTTAAAGTTTCGGAGTACATCACCTCCGAGGAACTTCCAGAGTCTATCAAAATCCTTTTGACGTCGAATTTTCCTATCCTCAGGGTTAAGACAAAGACGTCGTTATGAGGAGTCACTACGCCTGTCAAATCCGCGTCGGAGAATGTAATGCCAAGCTCACCCGTCCTGACCCTTTTACTTGGTGGCCCTATATCAACCTGTGCTACCTTCCTTGTCAAAGCTACCCTCTTGAGGTCAAACTCGAGTTCCTTGGACGTGGGGCGATCCAGGGGACATATATGGATGACATCTATGACGTTGTCCGGCTCCTCGGTCGGGGCAAGGGCTTGTCTCTCTTCTGGCCTGGGTTCTATGTACTCTTTCAAATATCCGTCTCGGACCAATCTTTCCAAGAACGATTTGAACACCCTGCAGCTTTCGGTGCGATGCTCGAAATCCCGGTGATAGGAACACCTAACCTTTTGATCACGGGTGAAGGGGTCGCTCTGCATCCTGGGCGGCCATTTGAAGAACGGCTCGTGCTTGATTTTATGGAGCAGCTTGAAGATGGGTTCTTTGAATACAGTGTGAATTCCTTTGGACGGACCCCCTAGAGGGGGTAGCAATCCCTTTCGGGGAATATCTTCCCGCTCCTTCTCTTTTCTCCTAGATTGGAGGGCTCGGCCTTTGCTGCTTCCCATCTCGTCCTCAATCCTTGAGTATTTGTTTATCCGGGCCATTAGTTCCCCCATATCCGAGGGGTCTTCTTGGTCAGGGATCGGTACAGGTCCGTGTCCCTTGCCAAGCCGAGCCGGAAAGATGCTGCTGCCATGACCTCCGAGCAGCCTTCTACCTCATTAACCTCTTCCCAGTATCGGATGACATACTGGCGAAGAGTCTCGAATTCCCTCCGTCTGGGTCAGCAATGATCCAATGTCTTTGGGGCGCTTGCTCCCCGTAATGAATCGAGCCAGGAACTGCTTAGTCAATTCCTTCCATGACCCAATACTATTGGGGGGAAGCGCCTCGAACCACTTCATCGCAGAGTCCCCCAAGCTCATAGGAAATACTCGGCAGAGAAATCGTTGGTCCGAATGATAGAGGGACATCATCTGCTTGTATTGCCTGATATGGGCTTCGGGATCGGACCGCCCGTCATAAGTTTTGAACCGCGGCACGACAAACTTTCTTGAAACCTCCATCTCACCGATCTCCCTTGTAAAGGGTGTTTGTATGACTTCGTCCTCGGCCTCATCCTGGACAGCCTTACCCTTTCTCCTGGAGTCTAACCGGGCTCTGAGATCAATTTCTTCCCTGACGGGATGCCTTCTGAAGTCCTTGAGTTCATCGGTAAGCCCCTCATTTCCTGGGCGTCGTGTGGATTGGGTTGAGTCCTCCTCGGATTCATCCCCCTTCCTCCGTCTAGACAAACCTCGTCGGAGGTCGTCCAGGGCCAATGACCTTGCTTTCCTTAAATGGTTGTCATGATGATGCTCGCCGGCTCTGGGTCGCTTTGGGGCCCTGGAGCTTTCTGCTTTGTTGTTTAGGTGGTTTCTTAGATCTTTCGTTTCCTCCTCCCGGGCGAGAAGCCCACGAGAAAGGAATAAATCTCTCGATCCTTCGCCAGAGGCGGCAAACTCGTTGAGCCGGCTTAGGACGTTTACATTGTCTTTTTCCAGCTGTCGTAATCTATTGCCAAAATTTTTTTCAATCACCTCCGCCAGCTGACGAGCCAAGGGGGCTGACCCCCCTGACCTGATTCCCATACTGGTTTGAGGGGTAACCCCTCTTGACCGAGTAGAGGCACTTTTATTTATATCGGTGTGATCCCTTCCTCCGTGATGACAGGGAGCTTGTAACTCGAGACTCCTTTGGTGGGGGCCTTTCCCTTTCTGTCGAGTGTTCACCATAGTCACTGTTCTTTATAGAGAAAAAAACTAGGAAAACTAGTCGTTTCCTACAGACGGCGCCAGATTGTGCGCGCAAGATCCTGCACAATATAAAAAATGAGAACAGATCTCTCCCTTGGTGAACTCGAGTGAGCCGGTTGAGTGGCCAACCACGCTGCTTGGGACAGCCTGCGAGGTCCGATGGTAACCGGGAACGGCAACGGGAGATCCTGGGAGAGCGGAAGAACGATCCAGTAAGGCTGAAAGAGGTTCCTGGAACGAAAAAGAACAAGTTAGAAGGGCGCCGGAGTATTTTTCGGCGTATCCCCTCCGACGATCTAGTCAGTCTTTGAGAAAGAGAGAGGAAGGAGAAAACACTGAGTGTGTATTGTAGTAAATAGTTTTTTGTTGCATACCCATCTTGCCTTTTGCAAGGAGTATTTATACCTCAAAAGCTCATGATTGCTGTCAGTGTAGTCAGTAGGTGATCATTAGGTACAGACAGTGTGCGCATTGATTCTGATGAGGAATGTCTTCTCTTCTTAACTGCTCGGGGTCCCGAGCAATCAATGCTGGGTCATCGGGATGCCGACGGTACAATGTACTCCTCTCGGGGAGGATGCAATAAATGCTCTGTATTAGGAGCATTTATTGCCTTTCATTTCCGAGCCTTACTGCATTGAATGCGGTCTCATCAAGGGAATGGTGTAATTAATCGTTTGTTTTCCCAAGTCGCGTGTCAGCAACGACATGCGGTTTCTCTGTCTTCGATGTGATATCATATGCCACGCGTCCATCCCCCATTGACTGTGACCCTTGCATTCCAGTACGTTCTGACACTAATTGTGTAAGACGAGGTCATGATGAATAGCTAAACTAGCCTAAGCTAATGACCTGTACGTCAATAGCTTATCCTGGAGTAGAGGAGGCGTCCAGGACGGGGTACACCTTGGCACCGAGGAAAGGCTCATCTCGGAACCGAGGGAGGTATACCGACCGAGGTACCATATCAGACCGAGGCTACGTGTTGGTTGTAAAACGTACTGAATGCCATGATCCTATATGATGAGTACCTCGGGGGCGAGGACCTTTGTGCGCCGATGGTGATTGATCTTACCAACAGTGTTTTGGTAATACCGAGGACACGTGTCTTCATCATGGAGCGTTTCAGAAAAGTCCCATCACTATACATGTAACTGATAAAATTATTTTTTCTGTCCGATCTAATCTGTTGTTGATCTTGCTGTGAAAATATTGAGTCGTCTAAAACAAGTTTAAGATCGGGGATTGAAGCGAAAAGAGGTTTCCACCTAGTTGACAGGACCGTGGTAGCCGCGGCGAATCTCGTGGGAAGAAAAGATAGTATATGACAGAGAATTTCGTCCGGTAAATACGAAATTTTGTCAATACCATGATCATAATCCGGTGTTCGTTTATGGCGTTTCACGAGAGGCTTTGATGATTTTGGTAATGAATCCATAACTTCAGCGAAGTTCCTTGGGAAAGACTGAACTATTGTGCGTTGCTTCTTCTTATAAGGAAACAATACATATAGAATAGGAAAATGCTTGATGGGAGAGTTATTCTGTGACAAAATCGTATTTAACTTAGACAACAAAACATGTGAGAGTTCTAACTAAATAAGAAATCGCAAGTTATAAAATTATTTGAATAGGAAAACACAATCCTAGTTAAACTTAGAGAACAAATTATGTTATAGTCCAAATTAAGCAAGAAAACTTTGATATCCTACCAAAAAAAAAAAAAGAGTCAAATAATTATCCAAACCTTGAATAAATCAAATGGGTAGGTTTTAGCCTTTTTCTTACATAAATCAAATGTCGGTTATGGTGTAATTGGAAGTGAATCCTTCATATTAACTGGTTATAGATATGATGAGGGGGGACATATTTTAGGAAAAAATAAATAATGTTATTTGGATTAATCTAATTTATATTAATCATTAGATTAGTTGCGGGTTTTAATAAATATTGAGGTCCACTGTCAATACAATGATTATGAATATTTAATTTAACAAATTATGTTAATAAATTAAGTACAAATTACATTACTCGAATAAAGGAATACTTGGTTTCCATAAAAAGTTCAACATTGGATTAAATAAGTCCAAAGTTAATTTAATACTACTTTTGTATCATGCATGTTACGGGCCTGGTCCAATAACATGAGTAAATAATTGGCATGCATGTTCCATGGCTTTGGACATTTGATTCTAGTTTTTTTAAATTGAGTAATGTTACGTGAATTTAAAAATTAGACTTGATAATCTTAATCATTGATTTTACTATGGGTTCCAATATTTATTAAAACCTTACAACCTATTCAATGATTGAAATTATTAAATTTAATTTTTAAATTCATATAACATTAGTCTTTTAAATTTCAAAACTGCCAAAGACTTGTGTACTAGTTATAAAAGTATGATCCTGTGGTGGTACGCTTTAAATTTGAGAACTTTAACCCGTAATGCAGAGGAGACTATCACAAAGTACAAGGAAAATAACAATTTAATACCCATAACTTCCTTCCACCAGAGGTTCTGATTTTCATTCTCAAATCCAAATTTACACAAACTACACTGAACAATTCAAACAGTCACAACCCAGGAGGAAAGTTCCCTATTCTCTCTCATACCCTTAACCTTTGTACTTCTTCAACTCTGGCTAACTCGAGCTAACCGGTGGGACTGCAGATGATATTGCCGGTGGCCACAATTGTGCGTTCTTCACCTTTGACACACTGGAGAGAACACTCAACGGCGTCACATCTCCGACGACCGTCAGCTTCTTTGCCGCAAAGTCTATGTTGAAGGATGTCACCCCTGGTCACAAGAATAAACACCATGAGATCCATCTCAAATGAGCGAGGTCGCAACTTAATTTGAGTGAAGTTATGGTAACAAAATGGCAAGTTACTGATAAATGGAACCGATCCCAATATTTTTTACATCGATCTCAAATGACACTCATTTTGTCATAATTTCGTAGGATTACTTGAGTTACTTGAGTCATTTTTTTATTTATTATTTATTTTTTGTTACAAAGTGATCAGGTTTGTTCCGACTATTTGTCAAGCTCCTGATTTAAGTTGATCTAGAGCATATCCCAAAGGAACAATAGAGATTAACCATTAGGAGTATGAGAAGAGATTGTACTTGAAACCTATGTTAATCAAAGGACAGATCCAGCCACTAAACCACCTCTGAGGATTGATTACTTGAGTCATTACTTACATTGTTTTGCGCTAACTTTTCGATAGAGTATCAAAAAAATAAAATAAAATACCTAATTGGCACAAAAGCAGCAATTGCAATCTCATCAGAAAGTAACCAAGCAAAAAAGAAAAGGGATAGTAAGTCATATGTCTACCTTCCATTCTAGAGATATGTTTCCTCATCTTTCTCTCACAGCCTCTACAGTGCAGTGACACCCTCAAGACAACCACCTGCAAGCAAACCCAATTACAAGCAAACACCACAACTGTTAGGCCCAATACAAATTGCTCACAGATTTGCAGAAACTCACTGGTTTTCCAACCAATACACATAGATACGTACATAATCAGAGAGAGAGAGAAAGACCTGATCAGGAGAGCGAGATGAAGAAGGCGGTTTAGAAGCAGAGGATTCAACTGTTTTAACAACTTGAGGCTTGCTAGGTTCCGCTGGAACCAATTTCAAAATTGGGTCAAAATCTGATAACACATCCAAGAAAGCTGTGTCACCCAACAAGTACCTAGAAGAAGTAGGATGGCTAATGAATTCACCAGGCTTAGTACAGCCCCAGCTCTTCCTTGCAATACTCTCACTTGGCTCAGCACAGCTCTTTCCCTTTTGATCATTTGGCTTTTTAGAACTCTTTTTCTTGGTCTCATCATTTGGCTTTGAAGAGCTCTTTTTACTCTTATGGAGGTGATGATTGTGAGGTTTAGGAGATATGGGTGGTTGTGAAGAGCAAGGAGGTAGTGGGTTGGCTAGCCTTCTTGAGTCTCTGATGATGGGATTGCATCGATCGATTGCTGGGCTGCTGCTTAGAGGGATGTAGGATGAAGAGGAGGAGGAGGAGGATGACCCTTCTTCTCCCATGCCTAGACGTATGGCCGTTGCAGCTTGTGATGCACAGAATAAATCCATTCTTCTCATGTTTGTAAAGTGAGAAATGAGAGCAGAACTAGTGGTTTAGGGAATATGCAGTTGGTCTCGGAGAAGGGAGAGAGAGAGAGGAATCCTGTAGCAGAGTTGGTTGGTATGCTTTTAAACATGAGCTCTTGAGATGAGATAGAGAGAGGAAGAGGGAGAGAGACAGGTCCACAGAAGTTAAAAGAACGATAGGTAATATAGTAGAAGATTATAGCGTTTGTTTTAATGAATTGACACTTCTAGAATAAAACAATTCAGTGCACAATGCTCTCCTAAAGAAAATTATACAATTTCTCTCAATTACAAGGGCCCCAATGGTGAGAGCCCCAACTCAACCAAGCTTATGCATTGCAGATTAGAGTGGATGAAAAGTATAAAACAGTTTATCATTAACTATTAGGTCTCAGAATAAATACCTCATCTCTGCTTTTATGCCACATTATTGTCTTGTTGCCACCCAAACTTTCGTGTTGAGCAAGAGGCGTTCTAGTTGATTCAATCGTTCAAATAATAAATACAAATTGAAAAGACATATAATTAGAACGATTTTCAATAATTATTCACCCGTGGGATAGATTGTGTGTGTTTCAGTGGCCTGTTTATTGGTTGTGTAGATTTAGAGTACATGTTGAGGTACATTTATACTGTAAATTAATGTGCACTGTTGGACATGACCTACACACTTGGAAGTTTTTGAATGAAATCTTCAGAGAGAGCTGTCCATGAGTTGCACCAATCGACAAAGCAACGGTTAAATGGCCAGTGACAGCATACAGTAGTGCTAAATTTATTGATGGGGCATGTATATTAGAGTTCCAATTTTGCAAGTGAAATTCGTCACGTAGTTCGGATGACAAAAATCTTATATCTAATACTTTGAGATCCTAACTTCGAATTTTATAACTAATATTTTAGTTGGTTAGACTTGCGTGTTTTATTGGTAATAGCGTATATCCCAAATTCATGTATCAAAACGCGCACAATTGAAATTATTTCCGATTATTAAAAAAAACCCAACAAACCCAAAAAGGGGAAATATCCTATATAAAGATGTATCTACATTGACAAGAGCATCTTTAACTCTTACTCAAATTTAGATTCAAATTTAAATTTGTGTAAAAAAGTCTAAAAAATTTGCTTCAACCATTTACTCAAACTTATACCAAATTAAGGAAAACTTATTTTTTTTTACTCAAATCAAGAAAAATTCAAATATTTACTCAAATTTTTAACAGTGAGATTTCAACATCTTTTGCCCTAATTTAAATTTGGGTCTCTCCTTTTTTATATTTGAGTTTGTCTATTGGAATGTTTTATATCAAATCAAGCATTTTACTCAAATATTAATTTAAATTTGAATAAAAATTTGAATCATGATTGAAAATACTCTCCTATATCACATTCTTCCCCAAATGAATTTAGCCACACACCTCCCAATCTGCAGGACATATTAAATTTTGGGTATGGCATACATTTTGATTACCCAGCAAACTTGGGTCCCTAGAGACACAGGCATGAGGCTCATATTACATGTAGTTACATCATTCAGCATTTAGTTCTGTTTGCAGTGCCTCCAAGTTTCAATCATGTTTAACAGAGGCAGGAGGTGAAGCTAACTTTATTGGTGAATAGCCTCTCACCCCTCTTTTTTTTTGGTTGTTTTTTTTTTTTTTTTTTGGGGGGGGGGGGGTGTGGGTGGGACGGGGGGAAGATAGGGGTGAAGTTTCAAACCCAACTCATAGATTTGAGTAGTAAGGTATAGTTTCAAACCCAAGTCATAGATTTGGGTACATGATCCAAATTTGAATAACTAAATTAGAGTTGAATTTTATAAATTTTAACTCAATTGCATTAAATAGTCACTTAATTTCATCATATATTCATTTATATCCATATGGTCCCAAAACGTACCATGTTAGAAATTGGTTTTTTACAAATTCATGGAATATGAAAGTTTACGGATTAACCCATGCTTGACCACTCAAATTCGGGTTGAATTTGTGAATCATAACTCAATCCATTGCCAGCCCACTGATAAGGGCTGCCCGTACCATTCATTTGGTAGTTCCAAAGAATGAAAACCTGATGGTCCCAGCCAATCTCTAAGAAAAAGAAAATGAAAAGAAGAAAAAGACTACAGGGCAAGCAGGCACAAAGTGACATAACCAGTAAGGCATTGACAGCCATAACTATACTTTTTTTTTTTTAGAAGGTATCCAAACTTAGTAAGAGACTACTCTCTTAAGTTCAACGACTAACTACTATTGCTTGAGCTGAATTAGAACATGTCCCTAAAGGAACAAAGTTGATTAGCCTTTAGGATGTGTGAAAAAGAATTGAACTAGAAACTTTTAAATTATCAAAAATTACGTTCACCCAATGACTACCCAAAAAGTTTAACTATACCTTCTTTACTTTAGGCTCAGGCGGTCCAAAAGTGCCTGCATTGGAACAAAGATATGTACACCTTTCTTCTAGAAGTAGAATTATTGCTTTTCAGATTCTTAATTATGGAATAAATGCTGTCTATATACAATAGCCAAATGGAATTTTTGCTTCCTTTGGTTGACTGGGACACAAAGCAACTTTGCCTATCCCATAAACGCATAAAGCTAAGTTCTCTTCTCCAAAGTTTCATGGAATCAGATGCCAATTTATACAAGTAACTTTCTTTTTCTTCGTTTTCTATCTCTTTACATCCCTGCCAACCATGTCACCTCCTAAGAGTCCCAACTCGAAACGTTTCCAATATATTTATCGGGTTATTCGGATCTAGATCTCTTCTAGTATATTTTTTTAAGTTATTCTTAATGGTATATCACCCATTAATTTTGATCTAAGATCCATTTATATGTCGTGAATTTCACTTGAATATACAGTAGGTGACGTATTATTAAAACAATTAAGAAATATTTATTGTAGTAATCCAAATCCAATTTACCCTTTACTTTCTCTGTCTCCCTATCTCAATCTCGACATGGTCATTCATCTATTTATTAACTTCTCTTTTTCTTTTTGAAGTCTTTCTTCACCTGCTTTGTCTCTGTTCTTTCAAAGGTTATCAAGCCGGTTACGCACACTACCTGATGTTCGTCAAGCTTACTAAGCTCTACCTTCTACTAGTCTTTCATTCTCACGAAATGAAATTGTTGCTCATCTTTTCTTTCTTTTGTTTTTTTGGTTCAACGGTCAGAAATGTTTGAACCCCGACTAATTCCCTCCTTAATCCACTTCAAAATAATTTATTCACGTCGAGACTAGGGTATTTATAAGAGATAAATCTCTCATGCCCTGACTTTAATGGGTTATCAGGATTCGAATTAAGGATGTATGAGTTTACGGGTCGTCTTGTTGTCACTTGAGCTAACCAACTTGCTTGCGCATCTTTTCACTTGCAGCACAAAGTTGGTTTGCTTTTGTCAGTTGTTTGTACAAAGCACTAATGGATGACAATATTGTCGATGCAAAAGAAAACACACACACACAGAGGTGTAGGACACTACGTTATGGTCAAAATACATTTTCACAGATACAAAGTAAACCATATGAATGATGAACCAACAACAGAGAGTAATTATCTAAAACTATCACCTGATTCATTTTTTCATGGTAAATAACTGGCACCAACAAGATGGTACTGCTACTTAACAATGATATAATCCATTTTTGGTAAAATAGAAAATGTTGGTTCAGTACAGCCTTTACAACATAACAAATCTGTGGCCAAAATGAGGGTCAAATAAATGCCTTTGTCATCAACAATTCATTTGAATCAATACAATTTCAAAAATAAAGATATCTTCGTAATGGTATTGCGTAATACTGAAATTTGAGGCAATGTAAACAAAGAACAAAAAATCGTAACGAACAAAAACATGGTTTTCACACTATACATACTGGTTTTGTGTCCCACCTATTTGTGCCCTCTCCCTTCATCTTCATTCAAAATGCGATTCTGAAAATCACTCACCATGAGAGGCAACCCTTGCCTCAGGGGTATTTTTGGCTCCCAGTTCAGCAACTCCCTCGCTTTGCTAATATCTGGCTTCCTCTTATGAGGATCATCAGCAGTGTTCGGTCTAAATTCTATCGCTGCACTAGGATCAATTGTTTCTTTGACAACCTATATTTGTGCAGGAAAGTAAGTTCATTATGCCAATGACTGGACAGGAAGTGAGAAGACACATTTACCAGTAGAACACAAACTATGGTTATTTAATGAAAGAAGGAAAGACAATTAACCTCGGCAAGCTCTAGCATGGTGAACTCTCCTGGATTGCCCAAGTTGAAAGGCCCAACATGCTCATTTTCCATCAGTGCCACCAGCCCATCAACCTAACATTAACAATTCGTTTGTAAATCTCTTCAACAGCATTTCAGTAGTTTAAGCGGAAAATGCTGTTGTTTCCCAGATTTCCACATGATAATTTTCCATGTGACAGAAAAATGGAAAAATAAAAAATAAAAGACGCATCCAATATTTTTAAGATTTGCCAAATCAACACGCAGTTTAATGTTGTATTTCTGTTCTGTATTTATGTCCTTAATTCTTAGATTCTAAAAACTATATTTTACACAAGCAACAAAAAATGACATAATTCCTTAAGAACCTAAGATTGAATTCATATAACTATATCACTTTCATTAGTTGGGTACGAGGTTCTCTGCAGATGAAAAAACAGCATTTGCCTAACCAAACCTAAGTAAAAGGAAGCAAACATGAAATAATGCATAACAGAAAATGAATCTGGAAGAGTCCCAGAAGTATTGGTAACATGCATAGCAATGATTGCATAACAATATATGAGATGCCAACTTACCAAGTCAGAGACAAATTGGAAGCTTCGAGTTTGCTGTCCATCACCATAAACAGTCAGTGGTTGCTTGCGAATAGCCTGCAGCACATACGTATTATTCTAAGAACGCCTTATGAATGAAAAAGTTTCAAAAGACAATCTCAACATTCGTTAATCAGTTATTATCATTTGTCAAAACCATAACGAAATCAGTCAGGGGATCAAACCTGTGCAACAAAGTTACTGACAACACGTCCATCATCTAGACACATGCGAGGCCCATATGTATTGAAAATACGAGCAATACGTACCTGCAAAGCGCAAGCACCATGATTAGTCCTACCCCATACCTACTTAAAATGCATGTGCTGAAAGTTACATGAGTGGGCATGCAGTACAAGGGCATACGAAGAATTCGCAACCAGAATCCATTCGTCTTACACTGAAGCTCGTTAAATTAGATAAATGCACTTTGCCAGTTTTCCTACCTGAAGCCAAACTGACGTCCTGTGACGAACCTGCAATACTTGAATTCAGGGGAGGAGCCCGAAGTTTCGCTTTGTGGGGGCACAAATTGTAACAACAATAATACACATGTACTTAATTCAAAGACCTAATCTAAAAACTTATTGCATTACTACCGTTGGTTTAGCAAAATATATTGCATTCAATGTTGACAATACATTATGTCCCAAAATTATATGCCAATCGTATTTCACTTTTCTCCATAGTAAGATTAAAAATTCTAAACTAATAATGAACAAAAAAAGGACCCAATATGCGCGTTCCTGCTACTACAAAATCTAGCAAGAGTCAAATGAACGAAACCTTATCCCGCATGCGAGAGAATGTTTCTACGACTTGAATTATTGGCCTCTAGGTCATAATAGAGGAACCTTATATTTGTAATTATCATCGACTTAATTTTCATATTATAAAATATATTAGCAATGGTGAGAGAGAGAGGTCAAAATATTGGGAGAGAAAAAGAAACTGCCTAAATATTATTTCAGTTGAGAGTAAAACAAAAATATAATACAAATTTAAAAAATGGTTTAATAAATTAAAATGAATGAATTTTTTGTGGGGACAAATTTAAAATATAATAAACATATACAAAAAACCTATGTAGCTAAGACCTATGTAGCTCCGCCTCTGCTTGAATTTTGGCAAAACAAAGGACTTCTGTTAAACTCAAAAATTCTGAAACAGCAAATTTTACATCTAGAAGGTCCAGTGTGCCTAATAGATGTCCATCTAAAAACGTCTCTTCAAGCTCACAAACACTGCTGAGAACGCCCCTCCCCCTCCCTTCCCCTTCCCCTTCCTATCTGCTTCTGTTCATTCTCTTCATGTTCACCAACCAAGCCAAGTTGAACTCCAGCACCAGTTCCACCTGGTGTAAAACTGCTGTCTGTTTGCAAGAACTAGCAGAGACATGAATGCACATTGTTTTGGATTAGATTGATTGTCTAATAAGCTTATGGTTTGGCAAGGAATTTTATACTTGTCCACCAGGTTGTTTACAAATGTGTACACAAGAGATGAATCATATGTTAGATTTCAAGGTATGTTACTCAATTGAGTTTAATGGAGCTGATAAGATGCACAGAAATGGAATGAGCGATAGTCATTTTTGGAGATGTAAGCTCCAAAAATTAAGCACACAAAATAAATAGATTTGAAATCTATATAGCATAAATGATGACTAAAGAAAAATCAACTGAATGCATACAAGGCAAGGGTTCATGGATATGTTGGCCATGGCTTTATTTCTCAGCTATATCATTCACAAGATCAGTGAGGAGTTGAGGAAAACATGTTTCATTCTAAAATTACCTCTAAAGAATAACAATGCATCTCAGGAGGAATGAAAAGTATTACTTTGCTTTCCTTCTAAAATTGCCTCTAAAGAATAACAACGCATCTCTGGAGGAATGAAAAGTATTACTATTCTGATACGATAATATTTGACACCCAAATGGAATTTTGACACTAAATTGCCCTCATATCAAGTTCAGCATCTATGACAGTCCATGTGCAAGTCAGCATCAGGATCTGTTACCTCAACCTCTGCCCCGCGATGATAATCCATTGTCAAGGTTTCAGCTGTTCTTTTCCCTTCATCATAGCAGCTTCTCACACCTACATAATTTTAAGTACGTAAACATTATGAACATCATCACAACAAACAAGAATCGATTGATAAACAGACAAAAGTAAGTTGCAGCTAACCAATTGGATTCACATTTCCCCAATATGACTCCTTTTGCGGATGTTCCAGTGGATCACCGTAAACCTCACTTGTACTTGTGAGCAAGAACCTCGCACCAATTCGCTTTGCTAGTCCCAACATGTTAAGTGTGCCTACCACATTGGTCTTGTAATCACAGTCAAGGATCTCAAGCAGTTCCAAATCACAAAACAAGCGGAAACACTTACTCAAAATGCACACACACCCCGTAATTCACAAGCATGTTAATGATCAATGGAGACATGATAGTGTTCGCGACACATACACATCAACAATTCAAAATTATTAAGATGTATGTATATGGTAGTCTTGACAGCACACACACAACCATTGTAATGATCGATAAGGATATGATAGTTTTCACCGGGTTGTACTTATAATGAACTGGCGAAGCCGGGCAAGCCAAGTGATAGATCTGATCCACCTCTAACAAAATGGGTTCAACAACATCATGTCTAATAAGCTCGAACCTCGGATTCCTAAAATGGTGCATCACATTTTCTTTCCTTCCAGTAAAGAAATTATCAATGACGATCACATCATCCCCTCTGGCAATTAGCTTATCAACCAAATGGCTCCCAACAAATCCAGCTCCACCAGTAACCACTATTCTCAACCTTCTTCGTCCAATGCCCACCGGAAGCCTTCCAGCCGCCTTCCCAACCCCAAAATTGCTCACACCACGAAATGGGTCTGACATAGATTCATGACTGATGACTGGAAAAAATCTGGGTATTGAAGAATGGGGTTCAGAAGGGATTAGCGGGGACAGAGATGGTTGGATGATGAAGAATGTGGAGCCAATGAGAAAACCCACCAGGATAAAGATCAGTCTTTGTTCTTTGAATAGGTAGTTGACCGATCTTGAGAGAGATCTTGGGTGTTTGAGAGTTTTGGGTGAGTATGGGGAGGTTAAGGTTGTGGGCATGGTTTCATCTCGTCTGTGATTCAAGCTGCATTGTTTGTGCAATTGTTTCATAATGCTCAGAGATTTGAACTTTCTGGGGTATTACAGTATTGCGAGGATTGAATTTTAGGTGCTGAATTCTGGGTTCATGAGAAAATTTAGAAGGAAATTGTAGCTGAATTGAAGAAAGAGAAAGAGTGGGAGAGTGTTGAGCTAGAATTGATGCTCAATGAGATTTGTAGGTGTTCGGTTAATTTTTGTTGGTGTGAAGAGGAAGATACAGTTAAGCAGCTGGTGAATCTCTTTCAATGCATAAGTTTGCAGAAAGAGAAGGAGAGTATCTGTTTTGGCGTATTTATGCGTAGGGTAGGGCGAATTGCACTTCCTATCTAGAAAGATTAAAAAAAACGGTTAATTGCATCGAAAGTCGTATAAAGTTTGTTTTATTTTCATTCTCTAATATTTAAAATTTTGAAATATTAAATATATTTTTATATAATTTCTCGAACACATAATATTTAAATTACAAACAGTTTTTTATTATAAACTTGCCACTTGAGCTTTAAATATGAGTAAAAACTAATTTAGATAACTCTTGACCAAAATTTAGGTAGCTATTAGTCAAAAAATTGCCAATATTTGAGTAGCGCTCGACAAAAAATGTATGATGTGGGTAACTCTTAACTAAAATTTGAATATCTCATAATCAAAATTATGTAATTTGGATAGTTTTTTAACCAAAATTTGGGTAATAATTTAGTCAAGAGTTATTCAAATTATTTTTTTTGTCCATATTTATGTATTACGTGACAAGTTTATATAAAAAATAATTAGTAATTTGAATGATGTTTGCTTGAAGGACCACATCAAAATATATTTAATACTATAAGGACTAAAATAATGTAATTAAAATATTATAAATTAAAATGAGATAAACCTCATACTTTGGGGATCTCAAGTGTAATTAATCTTCAAAAAAAATTTGTTTTGAACTCTTAAAAATTAATTTTTTTGTTATATCTTTTTATTATATTAGTTGTTGCACATGTGCGTTGCACGTGAATTATTTTGAATATAATTTTTTTTAATTATTGTTTGTGTCAGGACTCTGTAAGTTAAAATATTGTTCAAGATTGAAATATGATAAGAAAAATTGTACTATAGTGGTTTTTGGGAATTTTTGGTATTTGTTTGTCATTAAAAAATTAAAACAAATTCATTGAAGAAAAAAAATGAAATATGAATAACTATTTACGAAATACTAATAAATATTGAGTGATTTGGTTGGCATGTCCGTATGGACTATAGAATATTAAAATTTTATTTTAGTATTGAAAATCCAAGATAGACCAACATAAAAAGGTTTTTTTTTTTGGGGACAAATCTAATCTTGTAGGTGCTAAAACTTAAATAGTCGACAAGAAATCTGTTTTACTTAATTCCTGCATTTATTATTGTAGAAATAGTAAGTTCTTATTATCTTTTTTACATAGAAAAATATAATCACATGGAACGTTAAAAGGTATATCACTAGGCATGAGTTATAATAGATGACAAAAAGATCATTAAAGTTTCATTTATCTAGATTTAGTACTTTATTAAGCAGCCAAAGAGTTTTGGCTTTGAAAAAAAATAGTCCTCTAACACCATGAAAACATTTCTGATAACATAAACAATAAGCTATAATATAGTTTCAGATTAATAGTAGCTATGTATGCATAACGTGATCCCTATTATTTACTAAACCCCATAAAGCAATTTACCAATTACCCAACTTAAAATTTTTTCCCATTCTCCTATTCTTTTTCTAAAAATTGCAGGTACAAGAAATTAGTTGTAAGATTTATCAATTTTTTTGAGTTATGCGCACACATGAAATGCTTCCCCCCCCCTCCCCCCTTTTTATGAAACAAAAAGAAAAATTTGTAATCTAGTCATAAAAAAATGTCATAAATAAATTCAAAAATATGAAAAATCTAATGGTTACATATGAAATTTGAGTGACTATAAAAAAATCCTTCCCTCATCATCAACCCACCAACCCAGTTCCATAGCATTGCGACACTAAGAAAATCATGTGAAGTGATAAGTGGCACTGAGTGGAATAAACTTGATGATACTATCCATTCTCCGCATAAGTTACGTAAGTGCATTAAATTTTTATAAACAATGCTGCACTGTATTAGAAACTCAAAAATCGCTGTTCTAAGGTTATGATGAGATATGAATTATCACATTCTTATAATTCTAAAAAATAGAAACAAGTCAAATTATCATCAATCTTAATGAAAGATAAACATAGATATTGACTGTTAATCACGATAATTAAACCACATAAAAGAACTAAATGAAGAGAAGATTTAACCATTACCCCAACTATCCAAGTAGTTCTGTGTTAGTTTTGTTGGTGCCAATGACATTTGGCACTACAATCCAAGGACCAACCTTGTCGGGATCAAACCCCGCAAGCTAATCTTTGGCCTTTTTATTCTGTTTCTCTGCAAACTGGAATCCTAATGCTAACCAACAAAAAAGTCAGGGTCTAGTTTATATACGGTGAGGAGAAGAAAAGAAGAGAGTCGTGACCCCTTGTCTACTCAATTTACCTAATTGCATATATTAATTAAGTAGAGGATATGAAAAAGTGGAGAAACATCTATATAATAAAGTAGCTTACAATTCAAATTTTAAAAGATAAATAAAATGACTTTTGCTATTCGCGGTTGAGATCGCTTTAAATTTTACTTTAAAATTAATCTAACAGCTAATATTAACACCCTCAATTTAATAAAAAAATAAGACCCAAAGGGTATGGTTGTAGTAATTTTTTAAAAGTACACTTAGAAATTATTTTTCATAAATATTTTACAAAAAAATAATATTTAAAACCGTCCCACCACCACCTTTACCACCTCCCTACCACTACCGCCTCCACTATCACCACCACTGCTATCGCTGCCACCACCGCCCTCATTCCCACCCCCACTGCCACCACCGCCGCCACCACCACCACCATCGTCGTCGTTACCGCCCTCCACTATAAATCGATACTTAAATTTTTTTATCTCTTCTCTATGTTTGTGATTTGATTTTAGATATGAATATAAATATATTTATTATTTATCATTTTTTATTATTTTATATCTTCAGACACAGTCAATAACTAATATTACTATATTATAGATAATAGTTATGGAGTTATTAAATGATACATAGTTGTCTTTACATATTTTTATAAGGGTAATATAAGAATTTAAAAGTTTTTCATGTATCTTGACATTTATAAGTAGTATAGATTAAAAGTGTTACAATATAACCCTTTCATTATCTTTCGTTATTTATTATACCAAAAATTATCACACTAAAGTTGACAAAATGAAAAACAAAAGCTAACTGAATATCCATATTGTAACACTTTTAAAATAATTTTTAAAGATAAAAAATAAAATTTTTAAATCTCTTAGGATACAATGTGTCATTCCCCTGTTTGAAAAGCGGTTGTCATTGTTGTGGGACAAACTTGGGATCAGATAAATTGGGGATTCACAGATGCCCCTGAGACCTGAACTATGCCTCACATTTTCAGGATTATTTGGGCCTGTTTGGTACGTGTGGATTTGGGTGAAATTGAAAGGATCTGTATATCTGAAAAAAATAATGATCTATTCCAACTCTTATTGACTCTAATTTTGGGCCTGATTTTGACATTTCACCAAAAATCATTGGACTCCTATGGGCTCGACTTCTTATTCTAGTGGATGGGTTTACTATCAAAAAGTCAAATAAGGTTAAATAAATAAGCCTCCTTCAGCTTCAAGAGAAAACATATGAACGAGGATTTTGTGAAAATAATTCAATACACTACTTAAACCCATGTTTAATTGAAGATTTTGAGGGCTGCGTTTTGTAGGGTAAATGAATCACACTCCACAATAAATAGTGAATTAAGATCCATGTATGAGGGTTTGATGAAATGAAACCCATTGGGGGTCGATTTCAAAAGTGGGAGATTGAATTTGTAGATAAAAAGCCTACTTAATCCAAAATAAATTATTTTTTAATTCACCTAATAATGGACATTCTAATCACTTTTTTTTCTTTTCTTTTTTTGGTCATTAACATTTTAGTCATTTAAGTAACATGATTTGATATAAATTTATAGATTCCATATATATATATATATACGTCACTTATTAAATATGGGATTGAATATGATTTTTATTTGAATTCCATGTATAAATTCTTGGGGTTGAGTTTAGAAATACTTCGGATTTCGATTAGAAATGTAATCCAAGCCTTTAGATTTTGATAAAAAAAAAAAATGTAATCCAATCCCCCCCCCCCCCCAAAAAAAAAAATCCAACACAGGCCCTTTAAATTTTGATTCGCCTCAACCGCAATATCTAAAATTTTATCTTACACAAATATAATAATAGTTAGAATTGATCTAATCTTCATTTACTTTGATTTAATGTTACAAAATTTTTCCCAAATTTTTTTTTCCCTCCAAAAATATCAACTTCTCTACACAATTCCTAATGTCAGACACCCAAGTAACACACTTTCCAATATTAAACAATTACATCAATCTATACCAACTTTTCTATTCATTTTAATTTTAAATTGTGTAATTAAAAAAAAGTAAATTATTATTTAAAATATAAAAATTACAAGATTAGTACACTTTTTAATATTGTGTAGTGTCTTTAGACATAAAGTTATTGCTAGTTAGTCTATAAAATGCATTAGAATCAACATTCCTATCTAATTGGACTATTATTTAAAACAAGTAAGTTCTACGAAAATTCACATAATGATACTCAACAAGTCATTTGTGTTATTATAAGGTTCATTCCAAATGGCACTCAACTCCAACCCATTAATTTGAAATTTTTGCTATCGTATGACGTTGAAAATTGTTAGGCATATTGCTGGACCCCTCTAGGATTATAAAACGTGTGTACTTTTCATATTCATTCAAGCATATGTTTGCCAGATTACACAATCATATATCCGGATACATACAATGTTTTCCTTGAGATTTTCATGGTTCAAAGTCTTTTACTGAAAAGAGACCAAAAAATGGTCTCGTGCTGAAAGGGATGTGAATTGGCATAGGGAAAATGGATCCTTAAATGTTAGTGAAAAATAAACATGAATACCCACATAAAACTAGGTTAAAAAAAAAAAAATCTTTGGCCGAGGATCCTCTATTGTTAATTTTTAAATATTAGATGCGTTGTTGGTTAAAACGGGGTCATTTTATTAAACAGAACGACGTCGTTCTATATCAAAATTATGTCGTTTTGAT